TTACGTGTATTTGAACCGCATTTATAACATTTTCGATTGTTATAATGGTTATTGACTTCACTTGCAAATTTTTGGTACTCCTCTTTCTCTTTGGGTTTTATCATTTTAGGGGTTAAAAAATTTCAAATTTTGGAAGTATCAAAAAATACCGGTCTGCCCGATTTAGTCCTAGAAAATATTTCAATATATATCGATGGCGCAATTATCTTACTAAATCTTTTGATGATCATGAAAAAACCTTAATACAAGTACTAGAAAGACTTAAAAAGTATAACGTAAAGATTAATTTTGAGAAATCTATATTTATGACTGAACAGATGGAAATTATGGGTAACAGTGTATGCAAAGGCAAGATCCAACCAAACTTGGAAAGCCTTAATCCCTTGAAACAAATTACACAAGTAAAAACAAAAAAAGACGTTTAATCGATAACTGGTATCCTAAACTGGTACAAGAAATTTATTCCTAATTTGAGTACAAAGATAATAAAAATAACAAATTAGATTAAAGAAAAGAAGATTACATGGGATCAAGAAGATAGTCTAATTATCCAAAATATTATAGACGAATTAGAACAAGGGAAACATTTAGTATTACCAACCTTTCAGAAAAAATTCACTTTGGAAACAAATGCGTCAAATGAAGGAGTTGGAGGCGTCATATACCAAGAACACGAGATTATAAGCTACTTTAGTAAAAAATTCAATTCTACGGAAAAAAATTATACTATCGTAGAAAAAAAGATGTATGCGATTGTATTTTGTCTAGAAAAAGGCCGGAACATGGTTTTAGGGAACTACATTGAAATTTTTACGGATAATAGAAACAGTATTTTTCAAGCCGAAGGTAATCTAAGAATTAAACGATGGCAGTTATTACTTAATGAATACACCTACGAACTCAAACAGATTTCGGGCAAGGATAACGTCATAGCAGATAAGCTATCAAGAGTTTTCATTATAGAAGACGAAAAACTAACGATACAAGAAAAGAAAAAAAAATTATGTTAAGAATAAAAAGTTTTACGGAAAAATAAAAGAAGATGCCGATTTTGACGACCAAACCAAAAACTAGAAAAGAGATACATTCAACCGAGTTAAAATCGAAGGGACCAAAACACAAGACTTTATTTAATTTATACACCAATATGGATGCCATACAGGTATAACGACGACCCAATATAATATCAAACAGTTCTATGCCTGTAAAGACGTTAAATGAACACCAAAAGAAGTAATTGATAATTGTGTAATCTGTAAAAAATGTAAGAAACAATCTAAGATATTGGTTTAAGCCCAATAGAAGCGAAATTGGCATTTGAAAAGATTTGTATCGACATTTTTGGACCAGTGAACATGAGGAATTACGAAACCATAGAAGAAGATACAAAAGGTAACTTTTTAACGATAACTGATATATATATACAAGATATAGCCAAATATATTACATAAAGAAAATTACGGACGATAATGTGATAAAATGTGTTAAAAAATGGATTAAAAAATGGAGACCTCCTCAAACATTAATTTCGGACAATGGAACACAATTAGTAAGTAAAAAGTTTGAAAGTTTCTTAGAAAGCAACAAAATAAAATCAATACACACGCCGATGTACAAATTATCCTCAAATGCAATTGCCGAGCGAGTAAACGCGATTATTGCAGAAATACTAAGAATGTATTCAGGAGAAAATATAAAAAAGATAATACAAAATATGCACCACAGACCAAACTTAAATTATAAACGGACCATACGATACTCACCATTTGAAAAAGTATACAAATATAGCTTTTTCGATCCAGATGAACACTACATAAGTGTACTTAAAGATAAACAATTAGGAAAAAAGAATAAGAACGTTAATAAGAAAATAATTAAAACAAATGAAAACGTATGCATAAAGAAATTTAATGCTAAGAAAAGTGAGGAACAATATGAGGGTCCATTTACAGTTACAGAAGTAGGTAAAAAAGGCAGGTGGGTAAAGATTCTAGGACGAAAGGAATGGATCCAGGTAAGGGATATTAAATGAAATGGCAGGATGTGGTATCCCACAAATTAAATATTTAAAATTTTAAGTAAATGTCAAATCAGTAGATTTTGATTAATTAAATTTTAAATATAAAAGAAACCCCAACTATAGGGGTTATGATGCAGTCAAACACGACTAAAATAAATCATTTCAATATTATTTCTATTATTGAACCGCAACCTCGGCGGGGATTACGTCAAAAGGATTAAAAATTTTATTTCGAGGGTAGTCAAAAATCGTGCAATTGTTGGGTGCAAAATCTTTATGGATTTTCTTTAAAAAAGAAGGGCAGATAAATATAAATTTGTTTTTTATAGGCATTTATACAAGGTTAAAAAAATGTAGGCAAAAAAAAACGCCAAGTAAAGCAAACCATCAGATCTAGTATATAAATTATAAGAATTTCTGTAAACCGGAAATATTATTTTTTTTGAATTTTTTTAATACTAGTTTATCTAATCATCCCAACTTTATATATTTAAAACAAAATCGACTTTTCACTAACAATTGACAGAATTTTAAATACCCAAAAATTAATTTTTTTTATCCCTTATTTTTTAAATGCTGCACGAGGTGGAAAAATTACAAAAAATACTAAAAGAATTGGATCATGTAAAATAAACCCTCTTTCAGATCGTTTACTTCACATGTTACTGTTTGTTTTTTTTAACCCCTTTATGGAAAGATCGAATTTTTTAGACAAGTTAAACAATATGAATAAAATAGAGTTTACTGCGCTTTTAATTAGGAATAAATTGATACAATATGGTATGGCTCGTCTACACAGTGATATAACATGGCAATGAAGGAGAGCAATGATACAGAGCTGGGCTTTTTATGGCGATGTATAAATACAAGTTGTCGATTTTTTTAAACAACATTTTTAGTACTAACCCGAAGTTTTTTTTAAAGTAGTAAGGTTTTAGTAAGAAATTGTCTTAAAATAATTTTCTTTTTTATTTTAAAAAGCGAAACACAAGGATGTTTAAAATTTTGTAAACGGAATTTATATTAAAATTATTAGTAATATAAAAAAACGGCTTATGAAGTTTATATCAAAGTATTATGGTAAAAATCCTGTTAGATTGGGTGGGGGTCTCGGTACAATTGTGCAAATATATGAGACAAAATTAAATTTTAATGTCAAAAGTCACAGAGGAAGAAACGGGGCCACGCGGACTGGGCATTAATTATGGCTTATATTAGTGTTTCTCCTTCTAGATCATATGCTCAGATGGTTCCTAACAGGACTAAAGAAATGCTTTTGCCGATAATAAAAAATGTGGTCAGAACAAAAACAAAAATACATACTGACGAATAGTCGTATTACAAATCTTTGAGCGAAATTAAAGGACATTGCCATGAAGCATTTAATCATTTTTATAATTTTGTAAATCTCTGTTACAGGAACTCATACTCAAAATGTAGAAAGCCTAAATTATAAAATAAAATTGATACTAAAGCACAAAAAAGAGCTGGAAAAACACATCGCCCCAATTTTTTGATTATTTTTAATGATCATTTTACAGTAAATGCATTTGATAAGATTATTAAAGTGCATAAGTTTGAATTAAAAAATTCTTCATTATTTTTTATGATTTTTAGGCTCTGCAAAAAAATTATATATATTTTAATAAGAAAGGATTAAGTTTACATGACCCTTTGAAGGGGGTCATGTTTACATGATCCGAAGAATTTAAAAGAGTCATGTTGTCTCAAAAATGCATTAAATGTAAAAAAAAATTAATTTATACACGGATACCATGGCTGTCTGTACAAATTCAATAAGGAGACATAGATATTCAATTTACAAAAATACATTTTTATTTTATAGTAAAATAGAACACCTTTGATTGTGTTAAAAGTAATTAATCTCTTTATGAATTTTGTACCCTATAAATTAATTTTTCATATAAGTGGACTTTCGCGAAATAAAATTTCTGACATATATACAAATTTAATAGTATTAATATATTGGAAAAATATTAATTCTTTGTCTTTAGGTGGAAACACAAACATTGTCAAAATAGAAGAAAGCAAATTTATAAAAAGAAAAAAAAACAAAAGGCATTATGTTGGTTGTCTATGTATACTTGGCTGTATTTAAAGGCACACAAAATTTTTTTTTGCATTCCAGTTGGCAACCGTAAAAAACGAACTTTGTGAGCAATTCTTACGGGTGTAGTATAATCTTATACAATAATTTATTCTGATTGTTAGAAGGGTTATAAAGGATTAAGTAATGTTTTTTGCGGGGCATAAAAACGTAAATCATTTCAAAGAGTTTGTTAATAGAAAAGAAAATGTTTATACAACCACAATAGAGGCGAACTGGAATGAAATCAAAAGAAATATACAATTTAGAAATAAAACTAAAAATATGATTAATGTTTATTTGGTTGATTTTTTTATGTATAAATAGTGGAGATAATACCTCAATAAAGTTATTGCATTGTTCGCTGGTGTATAAATATAAATAAAAAACTTTAAATAATATTTCGGCCAATAGAAACGACAATTTGCCGTATTTTAGGTTGTTTAATTTAAAATCTTTAGTCTCTAAAATAGATGTCAATTTCAAGGAGAAAAAAAAGGATTTAAAAAATAAAGCTTGTCGGTGATAGAAAATTACGCAATAATCAGGTTTAAAGTGAAATGACCGAATATAAAACAGAATTCTGAAACATAAAAGTTTCGGAGTGAGAATAAAAGTATTGGCGCCACTCCATCTTTCCACCCCTCTCCGAACAACTACGTACAGATTTTTTTTAAAGTAAACGTAATTATTCGAAGGGAAGAGGAAAGGTGGAGTAAAGGTAAAAAAAAGAATTATTTTTTAACCCCATTATGGATCAACTAGAAGAAATAATTTTATGTTTTAAATTTAGTGAAGCATTTTTTCTCAAAAATACCAAGACAATAGATTTTTTTTCTAGAAATTAATTCTATAAAAAATAAATAAATTGTGTGAGATATGGTAACAGAATGAGGATTATGGTGGATGCCACGTATATAGACGGGTGTGCTTACAGATGCTCTTCTAAGGCATGCAAATCAAAGGCAAGCCTAAAGAAGGGGTCTAAAATGGCCTTCCTGAATATAAAATTTGTAAAAATTCTTGGGGGAATGTATTGCTGGGTATATGATTATATCTTAGCACAGACCATTGATTTCTGCGATTGTTCGGAGACTACCTATATTAAAATCAAAGATTTGATTTTGCAAGTAATTTCTGAATAAGAGCCAGAAATGGTTAAAATAGGTGGAGAAGGTATTAGGGTGCAGTTTGACGAAGCGGCTATCTGTAATGGGGAGTTAATACCTAACCCATCTAGTACTTTAGACAACAAACTCAATGTACAATGGTTAGTAGGAAGTGTAGAAAAGGTAAATTGTAGGAACTTTGTTCTAAAGCTTGTTTCTAACAGAAAAGTTTCGACTATACTAGATATGTTCTTCGAACATGTTGTACCCGGATCTATCATTGTTAACGATGGTTATCCATCTTACCCCGGGGCCGTTGCTAAATTTGGATCTTTCCATGAAGTGGTAAACCACACTGTTGGGTTTGTTAATGCTCAAGGAGCACATACGAACCAAATTGGAAGCCTGTGGTCACATCTTAAGCATGCCTATCGAAAACGTGGCGGTATTAATAAAGGGAGAATGAATTTTTTTTTAAATGAATGGAAATAAAGGAAAAAAATATTCAAAATAGCGATAACAAGACGCTAAGGATGGCCTTTTATAAATTAATTAAAATGTTTACAAAACTAATTTTTTTAACCAATATTCTTTAAAATAAATATTTTAATTTTCTGCAATAATGAGAGGTGGGTGGAAAGATGGAGCAGTGCCGAAAATAGTTAATAAAAAACCTAAAATTTACAATATTAAATAAACTTCTTATTTATACATATCTGTGTTTGAAAAGAAAGATATTTTAAATGTGTTGATTTTGGAGTGTTATATCTTTAAGTACTAAACAAAATATAGCAAGAAATTGTGGATTTATAAGTCAAATTTAAACATTTATTTTAAAAAATTGTTGGTAAATATTGGTCATATAGATCATGTAAAAAACAAACAACAACGATTTAAACGGAAAAATTTACATTAATCAGTTCTAAACTAAACACTTTTAAACAACTATCTAATAATGCATTACACA